GCTACATCATACTTCACCAATTAGAGCTGCTGGCTTGCAGTTGTAGTTGGTTGTAGTTTAAAACAGCCTAATGTCTGGCCTAATTCTCAGCATGAACTTTAGGGCCCATAGAGAGGAACAGAGATGTTAAAAGAGAGAAAAAGCTGTGATGCACTACATGCAGATTCGAAATGTTGAATCTCAGAACTTCGCCATCTGGCATCTGGCTAGTAAAGCCTCAGTCCCAGGCCCTGGCCCTGCATGCAGATTTATATAGATACGCAGACTGACCCCAAGGGAAGACAGGCTGTTCCTCAGTGTTCCCTCCACCCTCAGAGGGATGTTTTCCTCTGTCTGCAATCAAAAGAAACACAACAAAATTCTAAATCATGAAAAAATCTGTGCATTCAAACCTTACCATACTATGCTTTGATTACTTTAAAACTGGTGGTATTATTGATAGAAGATATGAATATTTATCTGTTGCGATTAACAAATGCTGGTGGTTATATTGAAGTATTTGGAGTTAGTCAGAGTGAAATCTGAACATTGAAAACAGGTTCGTGTGATACAAGTGGTCCACTGATTTGAATCAGTGCTGAGCAGTGTGTGAGAGAATAATCATGCAAACGTACCGTTCTCCTGGTGTCTGTACTCATGGAGTTCATTCTCCTGATAGAGGCTTGTCTGGAGAGAGTGTGTATTTCCTCCCTGTGAGGAAAAAAAGAGCGAAAAATTAATTTCTAAATGGCACTGAGGCTTATAATGCCATGTGTGTTATTCTCTGGCAGCTCAAGTTATGCTAAAGCTTCATTTTTGAAATGTAGTTTTCATGCATATTTGTGCCTGCTGTTAATTTACAAGTCCCCCACACAGAGTCATTTAGCCTGTGCATTTTACACTTTATGCTCCTCTAATTTTACACGCTCCGCTGTTGTATCTGTCAGCTGGAATATTCTTAATAGCTGTGATTTGCCCCATTTTTATATATTCTTCTCAGCCTGCGGATATTATTAATTCATCTCATCTTATCGCATCTTAATTAAACATCACATTATCTCATACTTTTTCTCAGTCAGCTGTCTCTTTAGCTTCTTGTTCTTGCGCTTGTGGTAACATGTGACAGCAATAATGATGGTGAGCAACAAGATCAGGAGCCCAATGGCCACGCCCCCCACAATGAACATCAGCTCCTTTTCAACACTTGTCTGCTTCAGGGGAATTTCTGTGAAGGTAGAGTTAGAAAGATTAGGATATGCACTTCTATACACATAGTTTATATTACTTTGACAAGTATGTTGATACTGCTGCCATCTACCTTCCACATTAATCTCCACCTCTGTCTTTCCAACTCCCACTTCATTCGTTGCCACACACTGATAAGTGCCCGCATCTGAAAGGTTAAGGGGTCGCCCAAAAGCTAGCGTTCCATTCGGGTGTTCGATGATGCCTGTCGGCAATTCTCCATCTTTCCTGTAGAGAGAACGTACGCAGACAATACTACATTACAGTGGATCCACACCAATGTATGTCACCTTCAATCTTGAACTCTCTGGACAGGTTGTCAGTCTGTTTGAAGGCTAACAGATAAGAACCCAGCCCATACAAACATGTTTACCCTATTAGGCTCAAGTGTCCTAAAAAATTTGCACTTTCCCTCCAATAAATGAGATAAATTAGTTTATTTGCTGAGTGTCCGAGTCGCTAACAATGTTAGATCCACTTCAAAGAAAGTTCAGTGACACCGGCTTATAGCAAGAGCAAAAAGTGCTTATCACTGTCATCATGCAGAAGTGAGTTTCGCTGACTCCTGTCACAAAGATTCATAACCTCCTGCAAAGTGGATGCTCCACCCCCAGCATTATAAGTTAAACAGTGATCCGACAGCCTAGACTCACAAGATAAAAGCCAGCTGGAGTGTTTGAGGTAACTCGGGGGCAAAAAGCAAAAATATCACAAAGTATTTGTCAAATATTTGTTTTTCTTGTTACTGATTTATTTCTAAGTTTAGATATTATTAAAGTATACGTAAAATATAGTGTGTGCATACAAAAACAGTAGTAGAAACGCGCTAGCTAGCCACAACAGCTATGGGATATAAATACAACAAGCTTGCTAGCATTAGCTGATAACTGTCACTCCACCCTCCTGTCCTAAGGTGATAAATAATGGCTGTAAACAAATGATACCAATAAATAAATAAATAAATAATGCCAAGGCTTTAAGGTACAGCCACCTGAAAGCAATGGGTGACTTTGGTGTACCTTTTTCCATCTTTTATAGTAAAGACTCTTTCATAGCTTGCAGACTTGTATTATTTAGATAATAATTCAGTGGGACATGGCATGCTCGCATAATGATAACAATCAATTCCACAAGATCTTAAAGAAAATTAAACACCCCATCCACCAGCAACACTAATTATAGTTCTGTACCTTCTAGAAGAGAACTTAATGATATAGTTGCTGAACACATTGTTTATCTACTGTATCATGTCAAAAATCAAACAGCTACCTGTGGGGCTGAGAAATGCAGCCACAGAGAGAACTTATTCCCCACAAACAACCATGTTAAAATACCCAAATTAGTTAGCAGGGATCTGTCTGTACATTGTACCGGAACAGTTTATGAATGCAGCTTGCTAGCCAAGCGTCCTAGTATGAAATAATAATTTATCTCGCCATCTTCTGGGGCAAAAATGGTTACTTCTAGATCCAATAAAGTAGCGCAATAGAGACCAAAAGACAAACAACGAGGCTTCAAAGTGCAAAGCCCTGAAACTACTGGGTGACGTGGCTGCATCTTTTACATACAGTTAAAAAAGGACACAACTTGAACATTCTCAGAAATGCATCTTCTTTTGTAAAGAGGCCACTCTATAATGTAATCTATTTTAGAGATGTCATAAGTGTGTTGCATAGAACTCTTGTTTCACAGAGTGGTCTGTGTTTAAGCAGAAAAGAGGAACCATATACATGTACTACATACGCAACACATTTTCATGATAACATCTCACACAGATCTCACGCTACTTCCTTTTCCTCCACCCTCCACCCCTGCCTACCTGCTCCTACTAGTTAACTTCTGATATTTGCTCATCCCTTTCCCTTTTACTTCTCATCCCCCTCCTGCTCCCTCCTTCGTGTGAAACTGTCTCATCTGTCTGCTCTCGGCACAAGCCGGAACATGACACTGTGACAGCAGCTATTACTTCACCTGCCGCCATTTACTAACAGGTTTTCCCAGTGTGCTGTGTGTGCGTGCGTGTGTGTGTGTGTGCGTGTCCACATGAAATGCATATATGTAAAAGGTGATTGTGAGGTGATACAACTTGATGTGTGAACTTTAATATATATCTTTTCTCATGTGTTTGAATGTGTGTGTGTGTGTGTGTGTGTGTGCGCGCGCGCGCGCATACACAGTCATTCATAAGTCTGTAAGCTTGTATACACGGTGTGTGCCTCTTAATCTTTACTCACAAAACCTCCTTTCATAAGGTATGTTCCTGTTTTGATAACTAATAAAAAAAGTATTAGATGCTTTACTTTCTGTCAAAACAGCGAAAACATAACCAAACATTTGCTCTTTTTCTTGTTGTTTCTTTCAAAAACTTAAGATAGATAAACATATTTTCTGCGTGTTTTTCCCCCGTGAAAGCCCAACTGTCACATGCCTCGATTTAATGGGTGCCATTCCTCTTCCAGCTTTTCAAGGCCTGCATTTTTTCTAGCTACACCACACCCTGAGAACATATTAATGCATTGAAACAAACAGCTTAAAATGACAGCTGGTGACTCAAGCAGAAGAACTGAAACACCTGAGTCAAACTCTCAGCTGGCTGAAAGCAGGGCTTCTCCTGAATGAGCTGCCTTCCAGCCTCCCATTGAGGCCGCAGAAGCAGGAAGTGACAGTGAAATGAGGTTGTTTGGTTAAGACTACGTCCACGCTAATGCGTTTTTGTTTGAAAACGCATCATTTGGAAACGGTGCTATCGCGTCGCAGTGTGGACACTCAAAAACGCAGACTTTCTAAAACAATGACGCATGTTAGTCATACAACACAGAGAACCTCATTCTGATGCAGTCATGTGACCAATTAAACTAAGATAGCGGAGGGCATTATACAGCAGTGGTTTTGTTTGCTCTGAATTTTGACAGCCCTATTAAAGATTAATATCAGTCTGTACATGCTCCAGATAGCTTTTCTTCAAATTCTTTAACACTCACTTGGTTTTGCAACTTTGTGCTTTTGTGTTACTCGCAGCAACAACTCCACCTCATTGTTAGTCCATATAAAAAACTCGGTGCTTTTCCTCAACATTCTGCCACAAAGTTTCAAAGAGCCGGAAAGTAAATAAGCAGCAGACTAAATGAGGCAGGTCAAATCTTCTTGCGTTTCAGGCATGCGCAGTACTGGAACGTAAGCGTTTTTGGCCGTTTCAATGTGGACGTTTTCAGACGAAAACGCAGTTTTCAAATCTATCCGGGCTAGTGTGGACGTAGCCTAAATCATGAGAAAAAGGGCAGAGATACTTCCCGGCTACATCGCAAAAGGTTAATGCAAGCAACCGTAAATACATGTGTAATATGGGTATACACTCAAAAGTAACCATAAGCGAAAATTGGGGTAAAAAATCTGTTAGCTGTGAGAAGTACTGGAATAAATTTGACAGATGTATGATGGCAAAAGCACACTATGAGGATTTCATGTAAGGCCTTCACAATTATCAATGCAAAAACACTGATGCTAATGATATCACCACAATATTTAAATATAATTCAAATGTAAGTGCATGAACTGTATATTTTAGATATGTAAAATATACAATATTTAAGTTGATTTTAGTCCATTTAACTGGAAATTCAGGGTTAGTTTTCATAAATTTATAAATTAGACACAGACATTAGATTTAATAACATAAGCACGCAGGAATTATTGTGAAGGAAGCACTAGCTACACATTTCCATGAAAAGAATTTCAAAAGACAAGAAACTACCGTGATGTGTAGTCTACTGCCGGCATTGTGTAACTCCAGTTCACAGTTTCACCTATTCACAGTGGTGTCACCATTCCTCTTTCATTTTGCCATGTATGCACTTGTGCACATGCAGTGCAGTGTGTACCCAGCATAAGAGTATTACAGTAGTAATTAAAAGTTTTGTAAGTTTAATCATATTGTCTGGTGTCTTTCTGTGTGTTTAAGTAAACTCCTAATGTGTAAACAACATTGACTGTTGCTTCTACTAAGCATTTTCCAACAAGACTTGCTTATGTAATAGTAACTAATACATAATTAATAAGTAATAAAGTCACTGTAAGTTGGTGATGACCTGAATTTGCTTTCACCAAACAATAAATTAAAGTGGTGAAATCATGGGACACAAAACTGGCATCACGACTGGCGCTTCTGATAAAAGTAACCATGACCAGACAAATCAGACACTTAGTCATACAAACAGCAGACACCCAGAGAGATAGGTGGAGCCTACCATACCTGATCCAGGTGAAGACGTGTGGTTTGGGGTTTCCTCCACTCACGCAACTCAGGGCAGCGTTCTCCAGACCCACATACCAGTTTCCATTGTAGCCAGATACCTCTGCGTGCGGCGGATCTGAGAGAAAGGGTAATAATTTACCAACTTTAAACGCTTTGAGATGGAATAATCAGACTTACAGCTGATGCAAATATGAATCCAACATTTTACAAATAGTAAAAATCACTGCCACGGCTTAACGTCAGTGTAAGGCATTGTGAATGATAATGCATTAAAAATTAAGGAGGGGAAGTGCTACTATTTTTTATGTATATTTAACACACTCTTCATCTTGAAAATTAAAGGTGAAGAGAGTTTTATAGATATAAAATGTAGGTCGTGTGAGCTAGACTTGCTCATTTCTGCACTACTGGATCATCTCAACTCTTTTGATTTTTAAAACATAGCCCAGTTTGGGTGTAATGTGGAGGGAAACTCACAGTGCACTACCAGCTGGTTTTTTAACCTGCGGGGTTCCGAGTAAGTCGGATGCCAAACCAGGCAGTCCAACTTCTTTCCATTCATGCTTCTCAGGGGGTACAGGGAGAAGTGAGAGGAGACTGCCCCGGTGTCTGAGGTGCGATTGACCGACTTCCCGTTCAGTTCGGTGTCCCAGGAGAGCTGAGGCAGGGGTCGGGCTACGGAGCGGCAGGTAGCAACCTGGCTGAATTGCTGTCCCTCCACCACAGTCACAGAGTCGACTGTGGAAATGGGATGAGCTGGAAGAGGGATGGTTACAGTGTTTGATCAGGGAGGAGATAATGATGGTTAGATCAACACACTCAGCAGCCAGTGTTGAAGGCAGATGTACACTTAAACAGATATTTAAAGGTCTTTCTAAGTAAGCGTGTCTGGTCTTATGCAACATGCGGGTCGCAGCAAAAGTTTGCTCACTAATTAGAAGAGCGTGTGGCTACATTTTCAGAGAAGAAATGTGATACATAGTTTCTTTCTTTCCTCGTTTATTAGTATTAAACAACTTTATGGTAACAACAGCAATAACTGCTTATGCTTAAATATTTAAAGCTCAAATAAGATTTGAATGCTTTCAGGGTAATAAAATTAAGTGAGCATAGTTTTTTTTTCAGGCAGTCAGAGTTAATTTAAGTCTGCAGTCTTGTTAGATCAGCTGATAACAGCTGGTCTCAGTGTTGACAGCTCAGCTGATATGCTACTGAGCAAATCTCATGTAAAGCCATTTATTTAAAGTGCTTTAACCTGCCTACAGTTTCTTAAAGCTTATGCAAGCAACCTTCCTCCACCCCACATCCTCTTGATACTGTATCTATTTTTAATCAGCGCCATATCTGTTCAGTACTGTGAGATCTTGCTGCCGCTGTCACGGTCAGACTTTCCATGTGTGGTAAAGTAAAGAGGGACAAAAGTGAAGCTATATCACCAAATATCAATTTTTGTAGGCAGTAATACCAATTTTCTTCAGAGTTAAGTAGAGCTGATGATGACTGATTTTGCTGTCGAATAATGCAGTTAACACTAATGATACCATTATAATAATAACGTTATTAGTAGCCTCTTAATGAGTTATAAACGAATAATCAAGAGGTAGATTCTGGTCAGAATTCAAACCAAAGCAGAAAATCTTCAGTGCAACCTGATCAAGGCTTCTTTTGCTACATACTAGAGGAAACATGTTGTTAGAGGTTGAATCGTAGAAGCACTTGTAAATTCTATATACTGATTATTACTTGCACTTGATTAGTTTTATTAATTCAAAAGTGTAGAACCATATATCGACAGTAAGACGATAAGATAATGTGAACGTTGGAAACACGACAAAATATACTTCTGAACAATAAACTTCAATTACAACCTTAAACGTAAAAACCTGAAAATACAACCACTTGTAATGCCTTATTAGGTGTTACAAATGCTTAATCGAGTGACAAATACAGTCATGAGTAAGTGTGTTATTCACATTTTGTCTGTGTTACTGCATTATTAGTCATGTATTAGCTACGCCTTAATAAACTAACAACCTGGTGACAATATGAATTAGTTTCCATCCTTGAGAAGACAACATACTGTCTCATCTGTTGTGTATTGTATGCCAGAGTCATGGTGAAAGGACTCACTATGCACAACGAGTGACAACTCTGTGTCAAAGTTTCCAAAGGGGAAAGTGCTGACATGGCAGGTGTACTTCCCCTCATCAGAGATCTTTGTGATCTTGATGACCAGAGACGAGTCCTTGGTGGGTTGGTTGCTGCTAAACTCCACGCGATCGGCCCACGGTCCGAACGCTAAGGACAGACAGAGACAAAAAGAGAAAGACAGTTTAGGGAACCCAAAAGGAAGGATGCCACACAGAAAGTTAAATCCAGCAAGTTCAAAACAAACCTCAGGCTTTCTTTTTAGCACTTTCAGTTCCGTACACATGTTTGGATCCCTCTCTTATAACTGAAATTACGTTACAGCATGGGCCATAATACCTTCTGTGAGCAAAGACTCCAATATCACCTAAAATTACACCAAACTATAAAAACGGTGCAAATATCAATTGAATTATTGATATCAAGGTAACATTTTCAGCATCTCTGGCAAACTGCTTTTAGACATTTATGAGCTCATGCCTTGGTGCATGATATGTTTACTGGGAGGAGAAACAAAGCCACTAAATAACTCTTGTCAGCTAAAACAGACGCATTAACTTGCAATACAGGGAAACTTTGTGAGGGATTGATAAAGAAAACATTTCCCACTGTGAGGAAAAGGGAAGTAACTCAATGTGACAATTTTGTTTTTAGCACTTGGCAGAGGGCGTAAAGACAAAGGTCAAGGGCAGAAAGAGAACTGGAGCTCAGACACAGTGCCAGTTACCTGTTTTTCCATTTACATGATGTGCGGTGATGATCTGCTCCTTGGCACCATCGGGTTTCTCCTGAAACCAGGTGACCTGCACCACTGTACTCTCGGCATCTGGCTCGTAGCGACAGGGTAGGATGGTCTCTTCCTCCGCCAGGGAAGTTAAGGAATAGTTTGGAGGAGGTGCCACAAAGTCTCCTTTTATCACTGTCACTGGAAGAGAAAGATAGGACCATAAATTCATCTGATATAAGAATCAAGTACTTGCAGCTAATTGACGGCACGGTGGCCTGTTCATCTCTAACACAGTGACACCGAGCTTGGCACGCTGGTCGGAAATACTAGAATTTGTCAATAGGTCTAGAAATTAAGAATGACTGCAGGAATCTCATTACAAGTGCCACATTTTTAAAAATTTTAACCAGAAAGGGGAACTCCTGAGACTCAAGACAAGAAAACACAAGCAAACTCTTCACAGAAGGACTCTGCCTGGGCTCAAACCCCAGACTCTTTTGAAGTGATCTACAGGCTTTCTGAAGCTCTTTTTTCTTTGCACATTGACTGCCTTTTCAATCATTTTCAGTCGACTCCTTATTAATAACAATTTTAAAGGAATGCTTGTTTCTTTGTTTCTTCATTAAGACAACTAACAGCAATTTATTAATCACTGAAGCCACCTAACATAATAGAAGAGCCAGGGTTGTGTCTCCAAATAACACACAACATAACAAAGAAGCAATTTTAGCAACTTGTTAATCCCAGCCTGTGGCAAAAACAAAGAATTTTTTTCCAATGTCTTTAATTGAATCTACAGAAAATGCAAATGAAAACACAGCTTCATTGCAATTCTGCACCAACAGGCTGATTCCAGAAGAGCTAGAAGCCAAAATCTTGGCCTATTTCAGATTGGTGAACTGAACAAGCGGCAGGCGTTTAAAAAGACGTACAGCAGATGAACATGAAAATGAAAACCTTAACTGTTCGATCTTAATCTGAAAGTCACATCCATGAGAAACAGAAAAAAATCCAACAAAGAAGAGATAAGACCTGAGAGATGGATCTAAAATTTCTGTTTCAATATGTACAGAGGACGTCAGGAGAGACGTACAACATCTGTGCACCACTGCAGAGCCGCTGTCAAGGTTTGGGGCTGCATTTCAGCCACGGATGTAGGAGATCGGGAATACTGATGGAATTATGAATACAGAAATGTACCATCTGGAAAGTGTCTGATTGGCATTGCTTCATTTTTCAGCATGATCCCAAACTCACTGCCAGTGCAGCAAAAGCATTTCTGGATAGAGAAACACACAATGGAGAACTATCACCTCAACAGAGGATGAAACAAAAGGCAGCAAAAAGGGTTTTGAATGTCCTTCAAGAAGCCTGGAGAACTATTCCTGAAGACAACATCAGAAAATTAGAAGAAAAGAAAGAATTCAGGATGTGTTAAAAAATAAAGTGACCAAATAGTGACTTTAAAGCTTGTTAGAAACACACAATCTCAGTTTTTTCTTATTCCATCTATTTTAAATTTTCCTGTCAAAATACAAAGAAATCACACTTTTAAACAGTGTTGTATATTTAAAAAGAGAAGTCTCAGTTATATGTGCCAGTAACTACTGTAACTTGTGTGCTGTAGTGGTGATAAGGCTTTTGACTTATTTTCTGTTTTCAACTTTGCTACCTAAGGAAAAGTAAAAGCATACAGTTTTACATTAACACGAAGTTGCATCAGTTCTACAGTAACTTTGCGAAGCTGCTTTATGCCGTGCGTCAAAAGTCCCAGTTCAATTAAAAGCATAATAGTGTGGAAAATGGTGGCCTGGCTGTGCCGGAGTTACATATTATTTGAGTAAGCAAGCTGTGGTTATGTGGGGTGGCTATTTTGTCCGAGCACAGGAAGCCAGAGCTGCTTCTCGTACTGTCACGCTTTTCTGTTAAGCTGAGCCAACAAGCTGCAGGGTTTAATGCAGCTCTGATAGTAGTTTTGTCTTTTCGCCAAACTGTCTGGAAGGACTAAGCAACATTTAAAATGATTTCATTAATATAGTGTTTCAGGAGCAGAGTTTCAGTAGAGACGGGTGTGCACTAGTCTGACTGGCAGCAACATAGCTTTAAAAAAAATGGCAGTGTTTAAATGCAACGGATGAGGTTTGAAGGCACAGAGTTAGTACAGAAAACAAGCTGTATATCATAAGCATGAGTCAGTACAAGTGAAGATATGTCGTATAACTAGTTGTTCAAGATAAACTTTCAAAGAAACGAAATGCTCAGTGTCTGCACACAAACAAAGGGACCCCAGAAAACATAAAGTTAACACAAAGTGCATCGTATCACATGTCTCACTGTCACAAAGCAGCATTATTTGGTGCAAACCACAAGTTTACATAAATATCTTGAGGGTTTTTTTTACCATTCTCCCCTTCCTCCTTTCAGTTTGCTAACCTGTTTGGTCTCAACAGACTACAATCCTTCACATTACCTGCAATATGTGCAGCGCACTGTTACACGGTTTGAAACTGTATTTAATGCTTCTTTGCATTTGTGCATGTTCACCTTGGCACAATGCAAAAATAAAACTGAATTCAGTTTTGTGGAAGTTTTGCCTATACGCACAATGCCTGCTGTCATATTGCTGCTCTTAGATCAAGCTGGAGTTGATTGAGTTGATACTACGACGCCACCATTTCCGGTTGTCGAGGCATCTAAAGGCTGAAAGCTAAAAACAGCTTGCTTGCTAATAAGGTTACAAGGTGTAGTTTTGTTTGTAATACTAACAAGAACTGAAAACTCTGGTTGTTTTCATTCAAACTTTTCAGCTGGTTTCTAGCAGCTAGAATAAGTCAGTTTATCCACATAAGTTAGTTTTCATTCGAGCTTTTAGTAATATTCATATTTTCATTCATGGCTTCGTTCGGACGTTGATTCAGTAGCTGATGTGGTAGAATCTGTTCAGATATGTCCGTGGGGACGATGTGATTCATGCATTTACCAGCAGACCTGATGACTCTTCTCATCAGACAGGTGTGTTTTTTTTTCCATGAACGTGTGTGTGTATGTGTCACCCTGATGTTTAAACCTACTTTGGAATCTGCCTGTGCTGCATTACTGGAATGATGCCCAGCCTACCCTGCTTTTATGGGATTGAAAGGTTTTCTTCAGTCTAGTGTAGCATTATCTGTTCATGTTAACTTTTTCCAAGTCATTTTTGTCCATGAATTACCTGAAAAGTTCACATCTCATTCAATATTTGTTTTTTTTTGTTTTTTTAAGCATGCACCCCAAGTCTCACAAAAGATGTATAATAGCAGCAATCCATAAACTTAAGGACTGATTCAGGCTAAATTATGATGTATTGTTAAAAACCAAAAATGTCCATGGCTGAAGCAAAGACAAAAAAGCCACATAAATTACACAAAAAACACACTCAAATGCATAAGTAGAAACTGGAAGGGTACTCAGAGTCATGACACAAAGCCCTATGTCCACTGTTGTGATTTAAAGATAAGAAATCAGGATCAGGATCTCTTACCTTAAAATCACATACACATCTTACATCTCTACAATGGTGAGAAAGAAGATATGTATGTAGGTAGATGAGAGCAGACTGCCAATAGTGAGATGGTGACAGACAATAGCACCTAGCAAAGAAAGCTTAGACAAAAAACAAGAGGAAGTGCAGCGTCCACAAAAAGACTGCGGGCACTTTTTAAAGTGTCATTGAGTTTTATTGTTGAGAAAGATAAATATAAATGACTTATTTGATAATAAATAAATTTGATGTCCATCTCTCAAAGATCTGACCGCTGCACAGCTTATGCGCTAATGTGCAGCTTTTACAATGACAAACAGTATATAATATAAACCACAGCCATTCAGACTTTGAGTAAACAGTGTTTGACAAACACTGTAAGAGTGAAGTAAGTAAGAACTAGCTTTCAGTAAGGTTTTCAAACTGATGTGGGTAATGACCTTACCTTCTATCTCAGATCAATCTGACTGATTCTGACTCACAGGCCTTATCCCCTTTGAGCTTTAAGCGAAAGTTTAAATCATTTGACATTACATTTGAGTAGTGATGTTTGTACATAGTATTTAAATTTGAAATAAATAGTGGGCCCAGGATAGAGCCTTGCGGAACACCTGTAGACAACATGGGAGTATTTGCATTTCTGGGTAAATGTAGCGACATTATATTATAACGTTGGGTGTTGTGTTTAAGTATATGTAGTAGAAAGTCTTATGAAGGCTGTGTGGATATTATTTATCATATCGTCACATTTTTGAATGACATATTTATACTTAAGCAGCACACACACATACACACTAGGAGGATCCACAGAGTTCATATGAATGCAGCAGAAAGAAGCGTATTGATCAACAGCAACCAGTTTTTCCAGAAACAGAAGCCAGGAGTGTTTCCTAACAGCCCTCCTCTATGTATTCTTGAGAAAAACTGACTATGCCTTTAGAGGTTGCAAAACATAGCTCATGAATATGCTTCAGATACTGTATTAGGCCTTAATAGGGTACAGGAAAACCAAAGTGTGCATCATGATATTTTTAAAAAGCCTTTTTTAACTTCCGATGCGTTTGATGTGTGACACACAGCTGCTTTAGCGCTGTGAATAGTGGAGTACAGCAGCGCATAGGCAACACATTAAACAATCACAGCACAATAAAGGGGTCAGTAAAGGCAAGGGATAAAGATATATAGTATTAAAAGAATACAAAACATGTTTAAATATCATTTTCATCAGACTTCATATGAGCGCTTATCTTACCAAAGACATGGAGGACAAAGAGGCACAGAGAGAGTCTGTTCAGCAGAGATGTCATTCTCTCTGGGAGTTGCTGTTAACTGTGCACAACTTTTGACAATTTCAGCAGTGGAAAAAAGCTCATAAGTCCAGGTAATACGATCCTAACTGACAGGCAGGCTCGAAGCATTGAGGCACGCTCATGCCTCGTACTGCCGGATCATCCTTTTTTTTGAGAACCAGATCCCTTTGAGAAATGGAAAAACTGTGCGCAACCCTGTCCTTGTGAAAAAGTTAAATCCTTTGAGTTTAGAGTCCTGTATGGTTGTTAAGCCCACGCCATCATGTTTGCCCTTTAGACGTATAAGTTGCAGCGTTACCTGTTTGGGATACACCTGTTTGAGCTACACCCCTCTCTCGCTCTCGCTCTCTTGCTCTCGCTCTGACATACACACACACCTAACAACCCCACAAGCCACAAACACACACTCACGCACACACAGCTGCGGGAAAAAAAAGTCACCTTTCCGGTTTGGTTGAGGCAACATGACAGTTATTTTCTCGTCTTTACTTGCTCTGCTCAGAGGAGAGGCAGGTGAAAAGCAGGCACAAAGACGCTGTTTAAAAGAATGAATGTTTCGCTTTAATACTCACCCTGATACTAAACTAGTGCCTCCTCCCTCATAAAGAAAGCCAATTAATCCTTTAATTTAAAGGGATCGTCACAAACATCAGTACTATGCAAAAAATTCCTCTGAAGACTTCCTCAATTTAAAAAGAAAAACACACAAACACACAATAAAACACCACCCTGCACATAATGGTATTTGTAATCTTGTTAATTTGCATACATGTAACCGGCATATTCACAGCTTGTTACAAAATAAATCTGAGCAGCTGTAACCACCTAAACCAACAGGACGCCAGCAGTAAAACTACTGCCAGCTACTAATCATTATTAGTATAGTATAGTAATGTTTTGTTTTATTAATTTGGGGTTTTAAATCACAAGGTTGGAGACTTCTTGGAGACACAACATTTAATGTTAACATAAAACTTTTAATAGGTTTGGTGTGTATGTACATGTGACAGTTTTAAGGCGTCTACAGGCAGAAGTTTACTTACAAAATAACATGCATGATTTTTTTTT